TCTGTGCTTTCAACTAAAGTATAGCTATACTAATGTAAGATTTTATACTTTAGTCGAAAGCACAGAAAATTTGCTTATAAGATAAAATATTTGTGAGACTGCATTTGATTAATCTTAAGTCATATATCGACCTGAATGTGATTACACGACCACTAATAAGATAAGACTAACCAATCATATCGATAAACAACACAAGGGTTTGGATGGATATCATCCCGACTGCGATTATAAAACCACAAAATGATTGGAAATCGATAGACATATGACTACATATGAAAAGTAGCAAATACTTGAGCCTTTTAGTACCATGGCAATTTTTCTAAAATACAAAATACTACACTATATGAAAGGATTTACATAAAACAATGTTATGATTTTGTGAACACAAACTGTAAACTATAGTTAGGACTAGAGTACAGGCAAACGCCGACTCTCAAGTTTTGTAAATTTTAAATATAATTCAATTTATTTTATTATTAATGAATATAAATTTGTTTAAATCAAAAATTACCTTTATTATTCAGAGTAATTAAAACTTAGTAATAATAAAAATAAGTTAAATTATATTTGAAAATCAAGTGAATTTGAGAGTCGGTGTTTGCCTGTACTCTAGTCCTAACTATAGTTTACAGTTTGTGTTCACAAAATCATAACATTGTTTTATGTAAATCCTTTCATATATTGATATACTGTAATTGGCTTTCGGGACCACATTTACCAGTAGTCCTATGTTTTGTTAATTATAATTAATTTTTAAATATTCAAATATAACATCAGTTTTAATACAAATAATAAATGTTTTATTCATTTTTCAATAGCATTTTAATAGTTTTGATGAAAAAATATCATTTTTACAATACTTTTATTCAATTTCATGATTTTTTATATAAATTTAGCAATATATCTTACCGGAATAATACTAATAATAATAATAATTAATTATTAATAATTAATTCTATAAAATTATCAATTACAATTATATAAAAACTAAAATATTGTATGAAATACTGTAGAAATTGTCAAATTGTTTGACTCTATGTTTAGCAGACTGTCTGTAATCCAATGCATTTACAGTTACTTTATAAATCTCTACTTGATCAATTCGATAAAATATCAGAAATTTTATAAAACTTTAAATAAATAATTATTTGACACAACAATCTATTTCTTCGTATGTGTTGTCATATGTCTATCCATTTGACCACAACTTTTGGTACTATAATCGCAGTCGGGATGAGAGCAATGATATCCATCCAAACCCTTGTGTTGTTTATCGATATGATTGGTTAGTCTTATAGTATTAGTGGTCGTGTAATCACATTCAGGCCAATGGCACCGGTGGTCAGCCATACCCTTGTGTTGTCTCTTTCGGTGAGTTGCGAGACTGGTTTGATTGGAATACGATTTATCACATCCGGGCCATTGGCACCGGTAGACAGTCTCTCCCGTATGTGTAGACCTAACATGTGTTTTCATCACTGAATTAGTGGCAAACAGTCGCTCACATCCATACCATTCGCACCTTATTTTGAGATCACTATTATGTGTCATCGACACTTATCAAAACATGACTGCTCACCGCTTGGAAAACGGTGTAAGTACTGTACACACGCCGTTACACACCCATACAAACACTCTTCAGTCAAATTTGGACGTGAAACAGAATTTGAGTGTCGGTCATTGCGTACATCGCATCCATGGTATGTCTGGGAAGGCGTTAGGATGTACTGCCAGCTGATGGTGACGTAGAATATCATCATTTTTAAGCCATTGTTTGCATTCTTCGAGAGTGCACTGAACTCGATGTTCATTTGTGTGAGTCATTTGATGTGATTTTAAATTACTATTATTTTTTGTGATATAATTACAGCCCTCGTGTCCGCACCGGTAGCTCTTTCCCCGATGATTCCTACTTACATGCGATGTCAGACCGCTTCGAGTGGAAAATGTGGACAAACATCCGGTGAACTGACATTTATGGAACTCATTCTTAGGGAAATGGATGTACTTGTGTTGAGTTAATGGTTTCATTTCTTTGAACTCTTTTCCGCATCCAATGAAATCGCAAACAAGAGTTTTATCAGAGTTTTGGTCATCACTTGAATGTCTGGATATGTGTTCCACTAAAATATCTTTTGTTTCAGTCTTATAATCACATCCATTGAGTCCACACACATACGGTTCGTTCAGCACATGTTTACCGGACTTGAGGTGAGCCCTAATAAGACTCGGGTGACCGAAGTGTTGCACACAATCGGGATATTTGCAGAAAAACCGTTTGTCTGAATGAGTCGATTCATGTGATCTAAAACTCTTGAGGTCTGAAAATATTTGATTGCATTTATTGTAATCGCAATAATATCTCCTCTTTTTGTTTACACTAAGTAACGTTAGTAGCAGACTTAATAGTGAGTTTCATAACAGTGTAAGAAGTCAATGTTACAGAACTGAAGGTTACCTAAAAACAAAAGAAAACCTTGAGGATAAGTTGAGTAAGTACAGTAGTGTACCCTGTCCAGACAGATGTTTTCGAGTCTTATGTCTCCGTAATTCAACAGATGTGGTGAATGATTTACGACAGTCATCAACATCACAGGTATAGCTAATCCCAGAATGTACTTCATAATGACGGTGTAACTCATTTGCATTTTTAAACCGTTTCTCACATCCCATGAAATCGCAGACAAACTTATAATCAGATTTGTTGTTATCACTTGAATGTCCGGATATGTGTTTCTCTAAAACCTCTTTAGATGTCGTCTGAAAATCACATCCATTGACACGACAACAAAAAGGCTGTCCCAACACATGGTTACCAGACTTCTTGTGAGACCTCAATGTTTTCGAAAGTGAGAAATGTTTGCAACAGTTCTCGAAATCACAGAAAAATCTTTTCCCCGAATGAGACATCAGGTGATCCTTAAAATCCCGACTTTGGATATAAGATTTTCGGCACTCATTGTAATCGCAGACAAACTTTCCGTCAATTTTTGTCCTCTTAAGACTCCGTTTCTTGCAATCGATGTCTGATTTATCTCCCATTTCCTCATCACTTGAACCACAACTGTATTCTTCAGTTCCGCTGTCATTGTCTTCACTTTCTTTTGATTCGTTTTTTCTCTTTTCAGTAATTATTTCGTGATTTTCGTCGGAATTTGTTTTGAAATCACTTTCTGTTTGAATATTATCTAACTTTTCATTCATGTCTTCATTCTTATCAACACTTCCTTCAAGTGTTGTATCATTTGATTCATTATTATTATGACATTCATTCACAACTGTGTTCATTATCTGTGAATCAATTCCTCCAATTAGTGGACACATATTTGATTCACTCATGTCTTCGTTGTGATCAACACATCCAGATTTAGTTTTTAAATCACTTTCCCGTTGGCTTTCATTTGAATCATTTTTCTCATTATTAGTTTCATTTGTATTCAAGTCTTCAATCCCTTGAACGAGATTGTCATCACTTTCATCAACACATGTATTGTTTATTTCATTACTTTTATTCAATTCATTGCTCTCTGTTGTCATTGTCTGTGAACCCATTCCTTCACTTATTGGACACACATTTGATTCGCTCATGTCTTCGTTGCCATCAACACATCCATCGATGGTCTCATCATTTGATTCCCAATTCATATGGCATTCAATACCTTCGGATTCATTGTCTGATTGCATGTCTTCAGCACTCAATCCCTTGTCTTGTGTTTCATGTCTTGAATTGTCTTTTGTTTCATTCAATTCATCACTAGCAACACTACTCACGTGAATGAGTCGCATATCAAACGCATTGGCCGTCGACTCGTCCGCCTCTTCGCCGTTGGGGTCGACATGTCCTCCGAATTGAAGCCAATAGTACTGTTGAGGGTCGTTGTGATCACCGATTGGATCCATTGACCGATTGGGACACAAATCACTGCAAAACACAATCAATGGTTCAAATCGAGCGCTCAATCAGTTGTTCACAAATGACGTCACAATCGATACGAACCACAGAATGGCTTTCAATGGGAATCGAATGCAATTGAATTGAATTGATGTCACGTTTTATATGAATTGCTTTGTAATCACTTTCAATGGATTGCCATTTGCTTGCATTCACTCAATTGAATGCCATTCAGAAACCACAGCAAAGGCACCATTCGATGGCATCATTCATACGATGACTGGAGGGGTGGCTGAGAGGGCACTGCATTACAAACACATCTATCAGTGAACGATGCAATCGATGGAGTATTTGTATGACTCGTGTAATGGCGTAGTGTTTATGCTTTCATTGATTTGATGAAAAGTTTTTCAATAAATTGCAGTCAATTCTCAATACAATTAATTGCATTATATTTATATATATATTGATTATATTGAATGCAATTTATGTGACAATTGTGTGATTTATATGTAAATTAATGACACAATTGTGTGACAAATATTGGCAATTGAATTGAAAATCTGTACGAAAGGTGTAATAAATCAGTAATACTGTAGTGACGGACATAACAACAAATACAAGACAAGGCATACGACTATCGGTGCAAATGGTTTGGCAATCACTGAAGAGATGGTCATCGCATGGATCCCATGGATCCGATGACTTGAAGCCAGACATCAGTAATGAGGAGCTGAAGAAGTTGTACGCGAAGGCGTCGACCCAGAAGTTCCCGGAGAACCCTCGGTATCCGTTTCATCCGACATCGGGAGTGATGCCGATGACAATCACCGGCAGATTCGACAACGAAAGGGAACGACTCGGCCCTGACTTCGACGACGTCCAGAGGGAGTGGCGCATGAAGTGGATCCGCGACCAACACCTGCACCCGAGTGAGCCCTTCCCAGTCAAACAACTCTACTATGAGTACCACAACGGCATCCGACGCTTCTATCGCAAGCCATTGGATCTCTTGGAGGAAAATCTGTCCAAACATGTGGTCAGACATTGGTTGCTCTCATATGACACTAACGCATCAATTAGTTGCAGATAATGCATACTTGGGTTCTGTTGACCACAAGTTGTAAACGTATTCATATATGTTATGAACAGTGGGTCTTAAATGAGCGCAAAGTGATGACCAGATTATTGAAATGTATTAACACATGACATATACTCTTAAATATAATACCATTTATTGCATAACAATAATCTTAACTACAATTAAGCTAAAGAATATATTTTGTTATATTATACAGTATTTGCATTCATAGCATACAGTTTTGGTTAACATTCATGAATCTGGTGATCACTTACTAACCTTTAAGACCAATGAGTTGGAGTGAAGTCAGTCGCAAATTGTCAATTGTTGCCATTGTATGAGAATCTAATGATCAATTTACAGGCAATACAGTGAATGGCAATTTTATTTCAATTCCTATACGTTATAGCATGACATGAATTAAGCACTAAATATCTTCTCATTCATTAAAATTATTCAAATTAATGAAAGCATTGATGAAAACAATTGATGTGTTAATGTATGCGTTGATTGATTTGAATATATTTAAAGCGATTTGTATTGAAATGTATTGCAGAGCCGGGAGACAGCGATGATAACCCGTAAGGCGATTGGACGTGGATTTCTGATATACCTGTCAATGGTGGCGGGCTGGTATTACATGAAGTATAACCGGGCGCACTGGGAGAAGCACAGGGGCGCTAAGATATACGTGCAGAAGGAAACGGTATACCCGGGAGACGTGCGGTTCCCCCGCGCGGACCCGCGAACCGAGTCGTGGCAGCACTACGACAGAGACTTTCACAACAGAAAAGTCTTTCTCAACAAAGACTAGCTTTCAATGCAACCGATGCTTAAGAACTTTTCAATTCTTTTCATAGATCATAGAATATTAGCCTTTAATTCAAACGATTAGTGTTCAAATGTTTATAATTATAGCTTAAATGAAGAATAAATTAATTGTTATCACATTTGCTTTTGTATATTATTTGAAAACATGATACAGGTAATTATCTGAATTAAGCTAACATACACCGGCATTACAGTATAACTTGATTCAAGTTTGCATACTTAATACAGTAGTACGGTATTGTTATTTATTCTAAATAGTTTATAGAATATCATATCTGTTGTACCGTAAGTTTTTACTATAAAATATTACATTACGATAGCTTTAAATTCAAATTAAATTTACGAATATAGTTTTAAAATGTACTTGTATCCGTATGCTAAAATTGAACTCACTTGGCAATATTCAATTTTAATTATTATTGTGTCACAAAAACCAGATTAAATTGAATATGTTGAAACTTACTGTACATTATATGATACCGTAATTGTTTTTACCGGTGGTTCAGAGCTTGATATTTGATGACCAAAACTACAATAATATTGTTATATTACAATGTAGTAGTTGTTATAACTACAATTATATTACGGTATAATGATCAGAATTTGATGGACGCTAACTAGAATATTGAATGAGTCAGTTGCTCACTATGACAATGTCTCAACTTATATTTGTAATAGCCGTGCCATGTATGGCCACTCAAATAGTACATAAATTTTAGGTTAAATACAGTATGTTTGATGGTTCATAATTTCTATAATTATCAACTCTACTTGATTTACATTAAGATTCAAGTTTATTACCGGTAAATGTCTAGTTCAACACTAAACACATACAGTATTGTACGCTTCACACAACTTTTACTTTTATGAATACTGTACGATTGAAAATTTTAAACCTCGGTCAGTATCAGTTGGTTTAACGACTAGTGTTAAGCAAACAATTTATTTCGATAATACTGAGATTTGTGAATACAGTATCATACAGTAATAGTAAAAATTAACCTCTTACAGGTATTATTTTTTCTATGCATTGATCACTTTGTATGGATTAGAATTAAAGACTATCATGACAAATAAATACTTTGGTTTACAAATCTATACAAATTGAAACAATACTATTAGGTGAGCTAGATAGATCAACGAAGAACTATATCTAAGTAATTTTAATTGTCAAATTGGTCAAGTATTAATGTCGACTACAACTTAATTACCAGAATATTTGCATAGAAACTGGCCATACTATATATTCTACCACTATTATACTGTACCTCATAATGTATGATAAGCTGTGTATAAACTAATATATTTATGTTAATCGTAGCAATCATGTGTCCATTGATAGTGAGTTAAATACGCTACAACTGTTGACAATTTGCCATTTGTTTCCATTGCATAAACTGGCATTACATGAGTGCGAAGATCCAGTATACAGTTAACACACATTTATATTTGTTAATTAAAATATGTTTTAATTTAAAGTGATTGTGTTATTCAACATTTTATTGTTTTAATTTTTGCAGTAATTTTATACAATTGTTTTGAGGAGAAAATATGTTGAGAATAGAAGTAATGCCGCAATATTTCCGCAATTATATTAATAGGAATACAGATATAGTAATAATAAGAATAATACAAATACTGGTCATATAAATGAGAGATAAAGTAATCAATAAATGGCTTAAAAGTCGATAAAATAGAATATCGGATAAAATAATAGTCAATAAAACGAAAGTTTTTGTAACTAAGAGTACAAATACAGTGATTTCATAAAATCCTCTAATAGAGAGTAAATAAACTCTTAATAACTATTTAATTATAAATGTTTTCTCAATTTACTAATAATAGTATTAAATTATATATAATTCTAAAGTTGCAAGAAATTGATTATAAATTTCATGATATAATTGAATACAAAAATTGATTTCAATTTTGAATACCAGTCTTAAAGTGAAAGAATAAACTAAAAGGTCGTTAAAACTGAAGTTAAAAGCAAAATAAACTAATTCTTAAAATTAATGCGAAAATTGCGGCAAAACTTTGATTTCAAGGCAATGGAGTGTCATATAGAGTGAGCACCGATGAGTCCCAGAGGGCCGTACGCACCGTACGGATCACTGTCCACAAGCTCTTCAATACAACGCACATCTCATCGGTGGACATGTCGTCGACCGACCCGTTGACGGCGTTTCTCTGCATTTCCACCTTTCGCTTCATCTGCAGAACGCGTATAATATCGACCCATTTCTGAACGCAGTTGTGGATGTCTTCACTAAACTCCCTGTCCTTCAACTGTTCCATTGTGGCCACTATTGTCACCACTTTGGCGTGTTCTCGAGACATATCGGTAATCATTTTGTCTATTTTGGACGCATTCTGTGGCAGTCGTTGGATCGGGAAGTTGTTGGCACTCGAGATCTTCTTCCCCACAAACGCGTCAATCAATTCGCTCTCAATCTATAAGACATGGAAAACAACATCTCATTAATCACTCATATATTCACACAATGTTTAAGAAGTGATACTTTTTTGCGCTCCTTTTCCAGGTGTCGGAACTGTGAGTAAGTGATGTCCAAATAATAGTTCAATTTATTGGTGGGTCCGTTGCACCCGTTGCTCTCACTTCGGGCCCGAATCGACCGCATCGGACGGCTTCCACTGTATGACACTTCTTGTGCCGAAGAATCCATGAGTGGCGCCAACTGTTGATACGACTGATTCTGATTGTAAGCCAATGGCTGTGCTTTGCATCCAATCATTGATGGCATTAATGATTGGTTGGCATTCATTTGATTCATCGCTGATGACAACGATGTGTTCAATGAGTTGGCCATTGGTTTTGGCAAAGTCTTCAGCAGTTTGTTATTAAACGACGGGTTAATCAATGCATTCTTCAACATATCTGTGGACAGCCCCGACGGCCGACACAATTGATTCTGCATTTGCTGTGCAGATGTACTCATTGGACGGATTGGTTGCAGATATGAATTCATGTCCGCAAAGCTGTGCGAAGACATTGACATCACATTTGATTTAAACGGCAGTGAATTGATGTCAGGAAGCGATTGATTGGTGTTAACAGTATTGACACCAATGAGAGAATGGGCCGAAAGAGTGGTGCCATTCATGCGGTTGTGGCCGACGTTCAGCGCAAAGTCACCGAAATTCAGACCATTGTCTCCAATGGCGTCTCGATGGCCGGCCATCGCATCGAATCGCAACTCCTTGTCGTTGGCGGTCATGAGATCCGTCACCAATCGATTCCTGCCATCGTTTGCCTCTCTTTGGATGTCGAGCGCCGCGAATGAGTCGAGAAAGTGGTCGCAAGTGGTGTTACCGGCGATCGAGACGTGGGAAGCGTTGGACACAACGCCTGCAAGACATGAGACAATCAATGGTTGAATGGTTGGACCAATTGAATGGTTCAATGCATTCATACATAGGTTTTGCGAGTAATTCAATGGATTCCAGCTCTGGTTGGCGTTGCGGTCAGACATGGTTTGGATGAGTGGTTGGATCCGATGTGATGACTGAGCAGACAATGGATTGCTTTGAAAGCGACAAACAGTCTGTCAGTGAGTCTAACACACAGTCTCTCAGTCTGTGAGCAGTGGTCCAGTCGTTCGTATCGTGTGTTTCGCAAACATTTGCATACTTTCAACACTTTCGACACTTTTTTACAGTTTTTATATTCTTGGTATCAATTCATTGGTTACTAAATTCGGTACTTTTATTGGTAAACAAATATATTGCAAATACATGTAATGTACGTATGAAAAAGTGCTGAATGCAATGGTGAGTGTGTGACCACATGTGTGGCGAGAATTGTTGTCTGCAGCGAATGCATTGAGTGGTAATCGTCCACAAGACCAGTGCATCATTCGTACGCAACACACATGCCGTGCATTGTATGACGCAATCGTACCATTGGTTCCCAATTGATGTTGACTTAACACTGTTAACAGTAATTGATTGGCTATTCATTGCATTGAACACTCGTTCATAATATCATACTTCATGCAAACAATTATACATTAATGAGTCTAATATCTAATACATCATTGAATTGATATTAATAAACAATGAATGTATTTAAGACATGATCCAATCAATCAATTAGTAGTCCATGTGTTGTCATTGCAGGTGTAGATCCATAGGGCTGTCCATTGGGGTGACAGTGAGCTGAAGACATGAATACTGATGGTTAGAGCTGGTGATTGGCCATGAGATGAGCTATGGATTAAGTGATGATTGTGGGCCACCATAGCCTCGGAGGAGGTGTTGAGGTGATGATCACTTGCACCACTCGTATGCCTTGTCTCGAGTCATGTCTTGCACGGGATCTGTGTTTGGAGACAATCCATACGCGTATTGGTCAGTGAATGCATTTATAATGTAACCACAAATGATACAAACATTTCATTCATAATATAACTAAATGCTGAGAATTAAGGAATTTGCAAATGACCATGCTTATAATTATAGCAATATTTTCAAACACATTGCCAATGAATGCATGAATTAGTATTTTGTAGATCAGAATAATGATGTGATTGTAAGTGTGATTCATATAGTGATAGAGTAGTGCCTCATACCTGAAATGATACCTAAAATCATACCTAAAATGATATGTAATTTGAAAAGAAATTCAATTTACAGAATATAAGATATGATAGTAAGCCATTAAAACAAGTATTATGAATATTTATTTACTATTGAATATTGGATTAATTGAGATTAAATAGATTGGATTTGTGTTGAATGAGTTTGAATGAGAGATTGTGCGGCAAATGTATGAGAAAATCGGGTGAAGTAATAGTTGTTACGGCTGTGGAGTGCAATGATAGCACTGGTAGTATAGCATAGGATAGGATTGAGAGAATATATGTGGGAATGATGTATAAGATTGTTGGCGAGAATCTTAAGATTAATGAGCGTCTGGTAGAGTAGTGTAGAGAATGGAGTGCAATGATAGCACTGGTAGTATAGCATAGGATAGGATTGAGAGAATATATGTGGGAATGATGTATAAGATTGTTGGCGAGAATCTTAAGATTAATGAGCGTCTGGTAGAGTAGTGTAGAGAATGAATACAATAGAGAAATGTGAGGCAAAATCGGTCGACACTAACAATGTTTGCTTTAATAAGAGCTTAAGTCTGGCTTAAAGTCGATAATTAGAGCCGCAGTTAAGCCCTAACAATGACTTCACTGTATATTTGTTTTCAAATCTCATACTTATTCTCAAAATAATTAATTTATATTCATTTAATTGCAATTTAAATCAATTAATTAATCTCGCAATTCAAATAAATTTAAATTTCATTATTTAGTATTATTTATGATTTATTACTTCACGTAATTTAATAGACGAGATAAATTAAATTTTAATTAATGACTGATTTATAAATTTGGTTTAAAAATAAAAAGATATATTACGTTAAAATTAACGTCAAATTAATTGTCATAATAATTGTATAATTGTTTTAAATTACTATAAAAATTTGGTTTTTTATTTCTAGTGAATAATTGTTTGAAATTATTAGCTTTTCGTTTAACAAATGATTAGTTTATGAGTGTTCATAACGATTACACTATTATCTGATTGAGTAAAGCCTGAGAGCATTGATTTTCATCGAAAATAAAGTTATTTATTATTAATTTAAGTGTTCATT